GCGCCTTGTAATATAGCGCCTGCACAGGAAGCTGTAATGTCGAAAAGCTATCCCATAATGCAACGCGCGTTTTCAGGATTTTCCCCGGATCTCGGCAGAATCGCTATTTGGGGTAGCGAGAATTGTAAGTCACGAAAATCAGACGATCATACAAATGCAATACTATACCATAAGTAACACAAGAGGGGAGTATCCCAGTTTTAAATTCACTGAAGTGTCGTGTCGTTTCATTACATCACGTTTTTGTGTATCAGATCTTATGGTTGACAGACCCACTCCCATACCCCCTTCCATCTTCATTGTAAGAACAATGCCCTTAATGACACACGCTACGACTTTGTCAAAGACCTTGCTGAGAAGCTGAGAATATATATTAAAGTGACCCTTTTTTTGGCTTTGGTTTCATTTGAGAGTGAAAAATTGTAAGTTTATTTTTATTTTGCAAATTAACCGTCAATAAATTGATGATAGCAAACTTATGTTCCCTTTGTGATACACAGAAGATGTGGAGTTATATTAAAATACAGTTATCAACGCATTCCTTTAAATCGTATTCGGCTTTTTGTTTAATTTTGATAAATCTGCTGTGATGTTTTGAGTAATAAACCGATATCAATCAATATTACATCACTTAGCCATCAAAATGAAGAGACCAACTTAATTTAAACTCATTATAAAATTATGTGCTGCCCTCTCCTGTTTAGCTCTCATATATCACGTCGCAAAAGAATGGAAAATATCCACAACAATATCCCAGTATTTATTCCTTATTTGAATTTCCTAGCATCATGTATTATGTTTACATTTTATGCATGAATTGACTTTATAGATAATAATTATAATAATACTAATAATAGTGGGTTCTTGTATAGCGCTCATGTCAGTCAGACTTGACACTCCTGGTGCTCCTGATTATTACCCTGGCTTTAGCACGGCTGCCATACGGCGCTCTAGCATTTCAAGGAATAAATCCTACCTATCAATGTAAAAAAAGGGGATTCCTTTTTTTGTCTATTTCGTTAGTTATGGATTAATAATCCTGTTTACACGACACCCCCCCCCCCCGGTCGAAATCCAGAGGGAAGAAACAAAACGTGCAGCGGGTCTTTACGGTTGCTCCTTCAAGAAAGGGCTCCTTCCCATCCCCCCCCCCCCCCCCCCCCCCCCCACCAAAAAAAAAAAAAAAAAAAGGAATAATCAGGGGATAAAGACATTGCATTTAAAAAATAAATACATTTTGAATACTTCTCCACTGAAGGTAAGTGAAGAATGGGCAAAATTATATCGTCAAGTCTTTGTCCCGTCTCATGAGATAATAAACTACGACTAAAGCGAGTTGATCGCAAGTTGGCTCTTTGCAAAGTCAAAATGCATTCTGCGATTAATATCGAATTCAGTATTATCGATTTTCAATCATAACAACCCTAAAACTCGTGGACCTAGGCCCTCTTTAGTAACTTTTTGCGATTTATCTGAAGCAAGTCTGCCAATTGATCATAAACATATACAGTCCCAGTCTCTTTGTAAAAAGGTGTACGGTTCAAGTTTGTAATATGCAGTATCGGGCAAAAGTTTTTTCTTTCTTTTCACGCATTCTTGTTTGCCTTTGATCTGGTCGGTGACCTTTAACTCTGCATGAGCGCAAAATTTCAATAACTTGTCTCTGTATAGACGCAATTATTTCACAATCCAATTGCACTTGTATTAATTCACTTAAATTAAAAATGCGGCGGAGCGGAAATTTCCCTCCGATCTCATCTAGTGACTTGGCACTGGAATACAATGCACAATCCATTACCACTCACTGTGGCTAGTTATTTCATTTTTTATCAGTTCGAGTTTTGTTCTTTTCTCCCTGGCCACCCTCGCCCGCTCTTCGATCTTTAAGTCGATGTACCATACACTACAAAAGCAATACCTTGTTACCTATATTAGTTGATGCAAAGCTCCCCTCCCCCCCCCCAATAAAAACAAAACAAAAAACTTCAAATTAGATTAATTGGTTAGAAAATGACAAACGGTCATTCATATAAATTCTTTTTATGTTGATAATTTACCTACTTGTGTATTGCATTAATCATTGCAAATCATATAAAGGTAAATTACAATGTCACCTTTTGTGGGTACAGTTCTAATGGTATGAAGCTCATTCTCCGATTGTTGCTATAAATCTTTTATATCCCCTATCAATATCACAAGGTTGGGGGATGAAATTGCTTAGAATTATATATTTCAACTGAACATTTGACAATTATTATTACATTATCCATCGGGCTTAGCGTAGGCTGAGTGGTTGCAACAAGTGCAGGCACTAGTTTCATGTGGGGAGGGGATCGAACCACTGTAGAGGTCCATGGGTCGAACCCTTTCGGTGATTAAAAAGTGAATGTACATGGAGAGGGAACAGGAGGAGTCCTCTCATTTTTCTCCTCCTTTCCCCCTCTCATCTCTAATTTTCGCCATTCGATTGATAGACGTGCCCCCCCCCCCCCACTGGTGCCCCCATCCCTCCGAACTTAGGCTACTACCCATCAGACACAAACTAATCCAAGCTTTGATCGATGTACCTTCCCCTTTACGCTTCAAGGGGATTTAGCGTGTTTATGTTAATGACATGATTACACCATGACATCTATATGCGGATGAGACGAGCACAGGAGCACACTCCCAGCATACCCATGCTTGCATTTAAATGACGTTTGAAAAACTGATGACAAAAATGTAAATGATATAATGTATACATGTCATCATTGCTCCAATAACACGAATGATTCGAAAAGCGAAATCAAATCATTAAGCTTGCTTAAAGCCAACATCTTTAAAAGCATTTTTGAATTCTTCTAAATTTTCTTCACGGTGATTTTGAACAATGAAATGTGATTTTCATATAAGATTCCGGAAAGCATACAAGGGCAGTTAGGGTTCGAAGTAAAAGTAGGAGAGAGAGACAGAGAGATAGAGAGAGAGGGGGGAGGAGAGAGAGAGAGAGAGAGAGAGAGAGAGAGAGAGAGAGAGAGAGAGAGAGACAGACAGAGAGAGAGAGAAAGAGAGACAGACAGACAGACAGACAGACAGACAGAGAGAGGGAGAGGGGTGAGAGGTGGAGGAAAGGAGGAAAAGGATGGTAGAGTGTATTTAATGAAGAAGAGAAAATGTGACATTATATTTACGGAAAAAAAGTCATTATAATACTGTATCATTCCTAATGTTAATTGTGTATCATGTCCTTACTTACAAAAGACTGTTTGGTTATTACTCACCCAACGAGAATACCGGATGCATGCAAATTGCACACCTTATATGGATATCACAAATAATCTCTTGTAATTGAAGTAAATTTATCCTGGCACACAGTCATGCACACCTTATATGGAAATTAAAAATAATCTCCTGTAATTGAAGTAAATTCATCCTCTTTCTATTTACAAACTAAAGTGAATACAAATTATATCATTAGTATTGCCTCCTCCAAATCTAATGCAACGTCTAAAAGTAGAGAGTTTTTACATTGTCCATTCTTTCATGGATGGTTAAATGATTCTTCTATGAATTTATAGTACTTTCAATTAATGTAAAACGACATTACGTTACATTAAAAAGGTAATACCAACCTGAATCGCTGTATGATGTGAATGCAATTCAAGAAGTTTACAAAATTTCCGACTTTCGAATGAAACGGCATTTATGATTTAAATAGACATCATCGTAATCAATGATTTGTTAATTTCTAGTCATCAGATAAAATTGTAAGCGGAGGATGAAGTATATTTTAACACCGTGAAGAAGAAAAAATGGTTCATAAACTTCATACATGGCCATGTAAGTAATGCCAGATCAGAATTGTTGGATAAGGAACTCAAACAAAAGTACATTATTAGTTTAAGATGGAATTTGGAGATAAACGACGATGACGAATCAGTTGATATGACGAACGTGTTGCATATTGAATGCCTGGCAAAGGTTTTTTTTTAAATTTCAGATCGACGGGATTATTCAAAATTTATTGGGCCACCTTTCCGAAGCTTGGAATATTGAGCAGCTACACCAATGTTGAAATACCGCACAATTTCGATTTTTACTAATATCAGATCATAAGGGAACTCAATCAAGAAGATGTTACACGTTTACTTCCGGGTTTATTTTTTAAAACTAGATGATATTCCATTTCTTTGAAAAAAATCGAATAGAAGTCGGATTGTAAAGTGTGGTGGCTTTATAGATAAGAAGGGTACTCTTCTTTAACAGGAAATGAGAATTACATGTATTCATATCCGCAGTAGCAGGATATCAAATAGTATGTACGATCATTAGACTGTACTTGTTCAGTACAATGTTCAGTCCCCTCCTATTGTACAGTCAGATGCCCCCCCCCCATACCAATAATACTACTATACTAATAATAACCGTGTATCCGAAGCAGAGCTATGGTGTGTTTTAATTTGTTTTATTATTTAATTTTTACTCGCATTAGGTTGAATTTACGAATTTAAAACAAAATAATTATCATCAAAGGTTTTGTGTTTCTTCTTTCTCTTCTCCCCCTCATTCTCTTTCTCTCCCTCTCTCTTTCTTTCTCTCTCTCTCTCTCTCTCTCTCTCTCTCCCTCTCTCTTTTTTTCTCTCTCTTACTCTCTTTCCCTCTCTCTCTCTTTTCCCTCTCTTCCCCCTTTCTCTACCACGCATTTTTAATGCCATTATATTTCAGCAAAACTTGCTTCTTATGCTTTCATTTTTTGTAGTCCAATTGAAACCACCAAAATTAACCGTCATGGAGAAAATACCGACAATTATGATTGTGGAAAATCATTTTAAAGTATAGAATTCAGTAACTCCCTCCATTTTTTCACGTTTCGTATTTGGTATAAATGTTTCTGATAATGGGAATGAACCTCACGGTTAAAACTGCACGTAAGGCTGTGACTTAACACGATATTAGTGCCCTCATAGTTTTCTGCGCCAACTTAATTGTGGGCGGATCAATACACAATAAATACCCTACGAGACGAGACAGCAGATTATTGTTTGGCTGGCTGTATGCCATTCGAGTGAATAACGAGCACTGGTCCGAAAGAGGAAATAAATAAGCCATTGTTAGAGCATAGGAGGAAATAATCAGCTATAGCATAAACAAACCATTAGCACTAGGTAATACTGTCACACTTGTCCTGTCACCCGAACAGATCAAGCGAAAAAAAGATGTTGCATTTGACTTTGTGCTGCAGTGCAGCTTTACTGGTTACCATCGCCTCCTTCCCCGGGGTGTGGGGTAGGGAGCCAGAGGAGAGTGGGGTGCATGTCGACACCAGCAAGGCTCTCTTTTTAAGGGACAGACGCGATATAGCAACACAAAAAGGGATTCATAAAGTCGGACGAGACACCATTGTCGACATCATCTCTGAGAAGACATCGTCATCATCATCGGTTGTACATGCCGGTGGTGAGAGGGGGAGGGGACGGAGGAGCGGTGATGATGCGGGGCAGAGTAGGAGCAGGCGAGCAGTGACAACCAGTTACAGCTCATCAGATGCAGATGCTATCGTTGCTACGCACAACGACGGGAGGGGTAGAGTGACACCAGAAGCTGCTAACATGAAAACTATGGTGAGCTGTTAATTAACTTAATTTGACAAATTTTTGACTGATGGTGGGGGGGGGGGGGGGGCTAGAAAGAGGATAGACAGATAGGTAAAGGATTAGATGGAGAGAGAGAATGAGACAGAGAGAGAGAGAGAGAGAGAGGGAGGGAGAGAGAGAGAGAGAGAGAGAGAGAGAAAGCAATGGGGTTATTTCTTGGATGCTTTACATTTGCCCCGTCCTTTTCTTATCTCCCAAGATCATGTCACAAATTAGTTGTGAGCAGTGGCGTACGCAAGATTTTTTCAAGGGGGGGGGGGATTAAAATCGGGCCCAAAATTTCGCAACGACTCAGCCAGCCGCTGAATAAGCGGGGGGGGGGGGGGGGGTAAGAGGGACACTTTTTTTGGGGGGGTCTCGAAATTTGAAAATTTGACATTTTGTTCCGTTGGTGGGGGGGGGGGGGGTAAGGTCACCTTTTTTAGGTCAGCCATTGGAATATTTTTTTTTTATTTTTTTTTTACCCCCACCTTTGCCCTCGCCTAAAAGCCATATGGGGAACATATTAATATCAATAATTTTGAACATGTCTGTATTCTTCTAGAATGCAGCAACATCTTCCTTTATTCATGGAAATAAGCTACCATTAGACCTGCAAAGAACTTCGTAAATTAAACTCATTAAGGATGGCTATTAAGTGCTTGACATGAAACTAAAAATGCTGCAGTCATTGAGTCATTTCCTCTCCTCTTCTCTTCCTTTCTGTTATGATTATGAAAAAGTAATATTATCAAAGTACACAAATTATTGAGTAGTCATGAATATTACTATATTAAAATGTATAGTTTTTCGAAAAGTGAATAACGGACTGAGCATAAGGAAGTATACACAAGTTTAAATAGTAGCCCTGTATTTTTAATGCGAGAAAGAGCTATTAATAGATTTAAAAATATTGAAAAGGTCTTCTTTTTTTTTTTAAGTGGAAAGAATAATGATTCCAAAAAGAGAACGTTGGAACGAGAGCTAAAGCTATGCAGATGCATGGTGGGAGGAGAGACAAACTGCAAGTTAAAACAAAAACAGAATCATTTCAAAGGTTCCAGCGTAACTGGAATTGAAGCGTATCATGAAGCATTATCTTACTATAATCATGATTAAGGTATGTGAATGTGATATCGTATACAACGAGTCCCTTTTTTTATACCAGAATAAAAGAGTATATCTAAATTCTTGAGTAGACTAGGTGCACTAATTAAAGTCAAAACGGAACATCAATCTAAGACGGAAACACGGGATCCGGTGAATTTTATGCTGAATAGCGTTGACTTCTCGTAATGATGCTAAAAGGCTTAAAAGCATTTTGTAATTGGGCCGGTCCAAGCTATTTCGTCCCATACGTTTAATAAATACCGACCACATCTAAAATGTCATTGTATCTGATGATAGTATGAAGCCAATAGCAAAACTAGAGCTTGAATTGGACAACAGGAATCAAATGAATTAACATTTTATGTTGTTCTCAATAATGTATTATAATTCCAGAAAAGTGGTAACATATGGGACATAATAATGCCCAAAACACCAAAATGCTTACGAAATGTATTGCTGTAGCTCGTTCACATTCACCAAATTGTGTTTTTCTTGTTCATATACATATAGTAATTGCTAACGACGTTTTCCCTCTTGCATGTTCTTGTACCAATGGATTATAGAGTCCGAACTTTCGTAAATATTATCTTTCCAAGGGATGGAAAATACGAACAGACGGACCTCCTTTTCAGATTCAGAAGTAAATTACGGACCTTCCCGCCCCTAAATGTCTTAAAAGTGCCATTACGGTGACTCATGCTGGATGCATCTCCGCTGATGCGTGATCCAATGTGTATATTATATCCTGCATAAAAAATGTATTGGTTTTGTATTGACTGAGAGATATTTACGTGACTATAAATATGATTTGAACCATTTTAGGTTGCTTTGAAAAACTACTACAGGTGTATGTTCAAATGCCTCCATTGGCCACACCCCCCCCCCCCTCCCCTGTGTCACGGCGCTGACGCCGTGCAATCTACGCTGAGTTGTAAATTCACCGAGCGTAACGGATTTCAAATACATTTTTGATGTATTGTATAGGATATAAAACAAATATGCCCTGCCTTCTTTTTGAGATACTGGTTAAAAATATGGGCCTCGGTGAATTACAATAGAACTATTGGAGTCTCTTTACGACTATATTTTAACCAGTACATCTCAAGTGCAGCGTGTATTTGTTTACTATATGAATTATTCTTCATAGTCAATGGCGTCTCAAGATGTGATAACCTGGAAGGGGGGCGATAATACTTGGGTACCACGTACCCTAGACCCACAGCCACTCCAAATTTGTTGATTTTCGTCTCTCTTTTTCTGGGGGACTCCACTTTATGCTGGATTCACTATCGATAGTGACAGACGAAAATTTGAATTTAATCAATTTATATAACTTATTCTCAAAACCATGGTCACACAGGAAGAATGAAAAACTAAATTGTGAAAAGAAAGATATAGAGAAGATGTGGTAAGATGGAGAGAGAGAGAGAGAGGGGGGGGGGAGGGATCATAAATGATAAATATCACACTTGATATCCATAATGAGTAGTTGATCTATACTTTTTTTGTCCGAAAGAAAATGTATTGAATCAATGGGTATGCGTGCTAAAAACTGATGTTCTGTGTGGATACCGTCAAATAATGTAGTCAGGAATCAATAATGTTCATGTCGAAATTTAAAAAATGTACGAAACCTTCGATTCATTTAAACAAAGACTGCCAATTTAATATTAGTCTTGAACTGTCAGTAATTTAATTGCTATTTGAGTTTGCATCTGTGAGAAATAGTTCACATCAAAATATACCTTTCTTTCTACGTTTGGCCCAGTAGCGGATCCAGGGGGGGGGGGGGCCTTCCCTGAGAAAAAAAAACAGTTAAAAACACGTTAATTTTACATTTATTCGAAGACGCGCCCCCTCCCCTGGTGCTCAAATGGGGGGGGGGGGATATTAGTGCTCATACCCCCCCCCCCGCCCCGCATATTCATCGGCTTGCTGTTTCGCCGCTAAATATTCTCTTACGAATTGGTTCTCCTCTTTGGCCCCCTCCCCTGCCACCGACTGGATCCGCCCCTAGTTTGGCCCATGTATCAAGTCTTGTGTCACGCACTCCCGGAATTATTTACTTATTATCGTCTAGGGTTAAGGCTTTCAGTGAATAATTTAACGGGTATATCCAACAATTCGCGTCAAATGTCAATTTGCCTGTGTTGGCTTGCCATTGCAGGCTTTTGTGTATTGTGTAAAGAGCTGGGAGGTGATTGATGGGGAGAATTAATATTAGGGGTTTGGGGCACAAAGGTAAAGTATCAGTGTGTTGTTATCTTCCCATAATCGACAGAGGTGCACTCATGGTTCGATAAATAAACTTTCTCTTCTAACTAGTAATACATTTTTAGTTCATAGTTAACAGTTTCTATTGTTACATTTCTTTCATTCTTTACCTTTTCTTTGTTTATGTCCTTAATTGATAGTTAATTGTCCTTAATAGTTGAGGCACGATAGCTCAGTCTGTAGAGCAGTGGTCTCGTAACCGGTGACCCGGGTTCGAAACCAAATCGATGCGCTAGTGCCCTTTGGTAAGGCATTAATCCTCATTACCAGGTCCCTCGGAGAGGGCCTAAAGCCGTCAGCCGTCTGGTTGCTCACTAAACAAGCATTTATGCTTTCTTAGCAGTCAGGTAAAACAATCACCACCACAATAATTGATGAATTTCTAGTTTTAAAGATTGTATTTAGATTTGTTTGTCTTCATACGTTTTCTTAAGTTTAACTGAAGGACGATTTTCTGAATAGTGTGTACCGGTATTGTATATGTATATTACAAATCATTTTCAATATGTTGTTAGGCACTCTTTGTAAAATGAGATATTGTGGAAACCAATAAACTATTTACATGTATCTATTTGTTTTGCACACCCATCCCACATCATACCGTTCATCATAATCATAGAGTCATTGTGCATGATTGAATTGAACTGAATAGTAACCAAGGACATCATAGTTACAGTATTCGATGTTTACACAGGTTGAATTTTAATATAGCTTTTTTTGTTTGGAGAATACAAAGAGCTAAATTCTACTTTTAATTACTCTGGTTTAGCGGAGCTTCCATGCATTAAAAGGACCTCAATTCATCTTCTGATTGTAAAGGATATAGACGAGCCTTCATATATGAATTATAGATAAACTTGTGTTTATTACGCTGCATTTAACCTATTGTGGAGTAGTCAATCAAGCAATTCAATCAATTTCATTATTTTCACAATTCGATAAAAAATGAAACAACCTATAATAACAACAATGCAGTAAAGATATACAGAAATCCATCAACAGTAAAAGGTACAATACAAAATTGCAATAGATAGAAATAACAAAAAAACATATCAACATGTGTAGGAGGGACAAAGAAAGGCAAAAAGCCTATCACAGGCTTGTCCCCGGAATATATCATACACAATGATAAAAGAAGTACGGATAGTTAAACACACATCCACCAATCGCTTTCGAAGTACAAAGAACTTTGAGGGGAATTAATTGTCGCCCCCGCAAATAGAATTAGACAAAAAAAAAGCCATCAACACCAGTTGAGCAGACATGACGACCTTGGCAATGTAAGTTTTTCTATTGATATTGCACTATTGATATTTGCAATTTCCTTTGTGTAAAGTTATATTGATTAATTAAAATGTAGAGCAAAAATAGCGTGAACATATAATAGTCTAACAAATGTAATTTAGAAACACCGGGGTTATAATTGATTTCATCCTTACATTTTTTAAAGGTCCATGAAATGGAAAGAAACATTCATTTTCAGTTTCATTTATTTCATCTCAAGAGATCAACAGATAAAAATACATATATGAATGGACAAATGTATGACAAAGACATAATATGAATTATAACAAGTGAGGAAGGCAGTGGTCGAAAAGGAAACA